TCTGGGATACAGCTAAAGTAGTGTTAAGAGGGAAATTTAGAGCACTAAATGCCCACATAAGAAAGATAGAAAGATCTCAAATTGACAACCTAACATCACAACTACAAGAACTAGAGAGGCAAGAGCAAACTAATCCAAAAGCTAGCAGGTGACAAGAAATAACTAAGATAAGACAAGAATTGAAGGAGATAGAGACATAAAAACGCTCCAAAAAAAATCAATGAATCCAGGAGCTAGTTTTTTGGAAAAAATTAAAATAGATAAACCCTAGCTACACTAATAAAGAAGAAAAGAGAGAAGAAGACTCAAACAGACACAGTAAAAAGTTATTAAAAGAGATATCACCACTGACCCCACAGAAATACAAACTCAGAGAATACTATATTACCTCTATGCCAATAAACTAGAAAGTCTAGAAGAAATGGATAAATTCCTGGACACATACACCCTCCCAAGAATAAACCAGAAAAAAGTCAAATCGCTAAATAGACTAATAACAAGTTCTGAAATTGAGGCAGTAATAGCCTACCAACCAAAAAAAAAAAAAAAAAAAAAAAAAATCCCAGGACCAGACAGATTCACAGACCAATTCTACCAGAGGTACAAAGAGAAGCCTGTATCATTCATTCTGAAACTATTCTGAATAACTAAAAAGGAGAGACTTCTTTCTAACTCATTCTATGAGGCCAACATCATCCTGATACCAAAACGTGGCAGACACACAACAAAAAATATAAAACCTCAGGACAATATCCCTGATGAACATTAGTGTGAAAATCCTCAATTAAATATTGGCAAACTGAGTCCAGCAGCACATCAAAAACTTATCCACCACGATCAAGTTGGTTTCATCCCTGGTATGCAAGGCTGGTTCAACATATGCAAATCAACAAACATATTATATAAACAAAACCAAAAAGAAAAACCACGATTATCTCAATACGTGCAGAAAAAGCCTTTGATGAAATTTAACATCCTTTCATGCTAAAAATGCACAATGAACTAGATATTCATGGAACAAAACTCAAATTCTTCTTAAACTTTTGTAAAGCTTAGAACTAGAGGGAATACTGTCAAACTCATTTTTGGGGCCAGCATCATTCCTATGTGAAAGCCAGGCACATAAGAAAACTACAGGCCATTAAGATGAACATAGATGGAAAAGTCATCACTAGAACACCAGCAAAATGAACCCAAGAACATATCAAAGAAATTACACATAATGACCAAGTTGGATTTGTCCCTGTCTCAACACTGTTTTTATCATGAAACAATGGTAAAGAGGCTGAAGAGACAACTTAAATACTGAGAGAATAGATTTACCAAACATAGTCTCTCTTAAAAGTTTAATACCTAAAATACGTAAGGAATTCAAACAACCCAATAGCAAAAAAAAAAAAAAAAAAAAAAAACTGATGAAAAAATGGGCAAAGGACCTGAACAGACTTATCTCCAGAGAAGACATAAAATGGCCAACAAGTACCTGAAAATGTGCTCAACTTCACTAGTCATCAGGGAAATACAAATCAAAACCACAATGATTTATCCCCTAACATCTGTTGGGATGCTTGTTATGAAAAGTCAAGAGATAAGTAGTGGCGAGGGTGTAGAGAAAAGGAAACACTTGTAACCCGTTGATAGGAATGCAGATTTATGTAGCCACTTTGGAAAACTTCACAGAGCTTTCTAAAAGAAATTCAATGTAGAACTATCATATGACCTAGTGATCCCTCTTCTGGATATATCCCCAAAGGAAATGAAATCACCACCTTATAAGGGTATCTGTGTGTCCATGCTTTCTGTAGAATTATTCTCAATAGTCAAGGTAGGGAAACAACCTAAGTGTCTACTGATAGAGGAATGGATAAAGAAACTACGCTGTATATATACAACAGAATACTATCTGGCCTTACAAAAGGAGATTCTGCCATTTTCAGCAACATGGATGACCCTAGATGACATTATGTTCAGTAAAATAAGACAGATATAGGAAGACAAATACTACATGAACTCACTTATATGCAGAATCTTAAAAACATAATAATAAACACAAAGCAGCAGAGTAGAATGGTAGTTGGGAAACATACAGAAGAAATGAGAGATGTAGGCCAAAGGGTATGAATCTTTTATTTACACAGGATGAATACTGTAGAGAATTAGCATGCAGCATAAGTGCCAGAGTAGATGATATTGCATTGTATATACTAAAAATTTGTTAAAACAATAAATTTTAGACACTCTTACACAAACACATACACACACAAACACCCCCCAATGCAAAAAGGAAAGGCAACTATGGAAGATAATATAGTAATGTATTAATGTATTTGAATGTTATAAGCACTTCACCATGCAGATGTACATGAAAACATAAGGAGTTGTACACCTTACATTTATACAATAAAAATATTACTTATCATTATTACTGAAAGATAAAATAATTTTTCATAGAAACTGTTAAAATATAAATTATATTAAGATAACTGTATACAGAATTTAAACATTGCTCAGTATTAATTTTTAACATAGTGAATATTAATAGAACCCACACAAGTGATTACTAAAAATAAAAAGGTCTGCCCCATTCTACTGAGAGATCTTCAAGGAAAATATTCCAGTAGTTCGGGTTAATTTTTTTTAACTCTATAAATCGTTTTTGTGGACACAATTACGAAGTCAAAAAAGAATTTGCCTATGAATCATTGATTATTTCAGTGTCCTAGGCATCTCTAAAAATAAGCTGCAAGACAACTCGAACCTGGAAAAGAATTGAAATTTTCCCCATTCGGATGTATTCTTTTTGTTCACTGGTAACTGTACGAACTTTTAGAAATCAAGTTGCATTCTCGATGTTCACTGCATTCAATAGCATCGATGTCATGAAAATGTTCCCTTATTTATCTGTATGCCTAATCACTAAACTGCAGTATGAAGTAAATACTCAATAATTCACTTGAAATGCTCCTCTGTAGTTACTGCAGATTTGAGTGTGATTACTTAAATATCACCCAATGAGAGAGAGTAGGATGATTACCAACCAGCCACCAGTCTAATATATTCCTCTTAAAAGGCATCAAAACTCATGTGCTTGCAGGTAAGAAGCATAATATAATTATTACATTTTACTTTAATAAAGCATGCTTTAGTTTACTACTGTGAGCCAGGGAGGAGTGAAGAGAAAGTCGAATGGACTAAAAACTCTGAGAAATAAAGCACAGCTAAAAAGACAGCCAGAGAAGCTATAGTTCTGAAATTGGCTGCTTTCTCTCACACACTGAGACTTTCTTTCTCATAGAGATTAGCTCATTTTTCTCACAAAGCTGGAAGGGAACATTTGGAAATTAAAAAAAAAACACACACATACTGGTGTATAGAAAGAAACATTTAACAATACAGTGAGACCCTCAGATCTCTCCCACTGATATGAATTAAAATATAAGGCATGTCTATCCTGACAAAGACCAAATATCCAATTATATAAGCCAATATTCATCATCTTTCTCAACATCATCATTCACTGAATGTTTACTATTTGCCAACAAATTAAAGTGCTTTTGAGGCAACCTCACAAAGTCTTTATGAGCCAGGTACTTTTATGAGTGCCTTTTTTTCAAATAAAGAAATTAAAACCTACAAAAGTTGTAAATAACTTAGTCCAAAGTGGCTCAGCTACTAAAGATCCTCTCACTCCATAGTCCCAGTTTTCTCAAAGAGCAAAGAAGAGATTAACGTGGCTCTAGAATAAAAATACTGTGTAGTGTTTGGATAAGAAAATGAGTATTACAGGAAGGAGAAAGCACACAGGATGAAAAGAGAAGAAAACAAGTTATGTTTGTGATATAACTAGGAGACTGACTGAGTCAGTGGAGCATTTGTACTGAGAAATGGTAGGAAGTTAGCTAGAATAGAAGACTGGGGGCAAATCAGTCAAACAGATTTAAATGCCAGTCTAAAACCCAGGGCAATTGGAAGCCATTGCACATTTTTTATCAGAGTCCAATACTTAAATAAGCCTGTGCTTGTTTTAGGAAATCACATAAGGTCAGCAACATTTACAGCTAAAATTAATTTTATTGAAAATCTGGTCAAATACTTTACTTTAGAGATTAGACACTGAAATTTATGTTAAAGCTCCCTCTTTGCTACTTAAAAGTCAAGATAAGTGAATATTACATTTAGCTGAATAAAGTTTGAAAAATTCAAACTGCCTTTTGAATATGAATCTTTTAATCACTGTTACATTGTTTTGTTCCTTGAGAATCTGTGATCTTCTAAAGAAAACAGATTCTTATTTTTATGGTAGGACCTTTATGAATGTACACACTTAGTGAAGAGGTAATATAAGTGGTACCAACCACAGAAAATGGATTTAGGAGAAGCAAGTAACATGAATTGGGGGAAGGTCATAGGCCCATTTTAGCCATGTTCCCCAAGATCCCCAGAACACCCTTCACCCATAACTATTCACTGACATGGTGGCTTTCAGGTGAAAAGCCCATGGAGCTTTCTGGGCAAGGAACATGGAGAAGACCAATCAGAAAATGCCTTGAGTCACTTGCCTTGTAAAATATCTCCCCTTTCAGGCTCTTTGCATTCTGCACTTTTTCAGTAATCAGCTACATCAGATCCTCTTCTTGTTTCATTTCATTCATTTTTTTTAAGAGATAGGGTCTCACTGTATTGTCCAGGATTGCCTCATATTCTCAGACTTGCCTCAAGCTTCCAGGGCTAAAGCCATTCTCCCACCTCAAGCCCCCTGAGTAGCTGAAACTACAGGCTCATGACATTACATTTGGCTCTTTCTCTTAATTCTGACCACTGACTTCTAGAATTTCCTGCTACGTGACACTGTAATGTGAGTTTATATGTATTTATAGAGGCTGCCAAGAAAAAGTCCCAGAAGTGTTGTGTTCCAAATCTGAGAACAGAACTTTGGTTTACTTCATGTATTGTTTGATTTTTAGGCTAGGTAAGCAAATGCATCCTTAAAACAAACTTACATCCTTTCTGCCTCTGGGAAGGCTTCTCCAACAGCAGACTTCTTCAAACACAGAAATTATATTTCTAAAAAACAGTGTGGAAAAGCCATGTCTAATAAATTTCAGTTCTCATAACATAGGAGTTAAGAAAAAGTAAGCAATAAAAATGTCACTGACTATATACATTCACATGTGAGACAAACATAGACAATGCAAATAAAAGCTGTGAAGGCTACCCACTTTCAAAACAAAACATTGACGCACTTTAATGTTTTTGCTGTATTCCTTCTGCTGAACCAGCTTCTTCGGATCTTTAAGAAATACTGCAATAGTATTGAGATCTAAGGGGAACATAGATCTATAATAACAGAGGTCTAAGATCTAGAACATAGATATAAGATCTATGTTCTCCTCCATATTTTAGATTTTGCTTCTTAGAAAGAACTTGAAGCAATGCTTACTGGTTTTTAAATTATCATTTTTTATATAAGCATTTTCTCTTGTTTCACACACATCTTTGCCAAAAATAAATAAATAAAGGCTTTGTTACTTTTTGTTTGACTTCCTTTACAATTAACTGGGTGCATTAGGGTAAGGTTTAGCTTTATTTTCTCCATAAACCGAAAGGGCAGACATATTTTTTCTCTGGACAACCCCACAGGGCCACCATCATTTGCTAAAGAACAGTTGCTATGTTTTTCTGTTCACGTGCACTCAATTAAAGGTGCCTTATATTAAAAATAGAACAGATGTTTTGTTACAAAACCAAGATTAGAAAAAGCTTACTACAGCCAATTTTACATAATCTCTCTTGCCATTTAGTTTCTACCATGCTTTGAGTCAAACTATCAGCATTGAACATCTGTTTGCTTTCCATCATTCAGCATTTCTGTTTGGTGCTTCACATCGTTTCTTTCTTTCTTTTTTTATTTCTATGAGAGTATCACTCTCTCCCCACAATTACAATTGCTCAAATAATTAAATGAGGACTACCCTGGTTTAGACAGTGACCTTTCATATGTTTTCTCATTCAAGTTTAATAAAAGTAGTTTTACAAGACCTTAAAGTTATGTGATTCCAATTGGCAATTTGTAGCAATATGTTAAATTTTGATCCACCAATCCCACTCTTGGGAATTTATTGCACAGACAAAAATGTATATATCAACTCTATATACTAAAGTAAGTATTAATAGTACCAGTTTTTTTTAATGACCACAATGTCCAGTAACAGGAAATTGGTTAAATAAGTTATGATACATTTGTATGACGTAATAATGAATCCAATGTCCATGAGCATGTTAAGCATCAAAGGAAATGTCTAAAACTATCTATATTATGACATAAACTTGGATGTATTTATTGACATGTACACCAAAGAACCAAAATTTTATTTCACAAAATGGTAGTCTTAGTGCTTTTTGTCTCTAGTTTTCCTCTCTTTTCTCTTTAAGTATAAATAGTATATATCTTATATGAGATACATATGTGTGTATATATCCATATGTATATAATTTGTACCAAGGTACTTATCATTTTACTTTTAAGAAAAATGAAACTTATGTTGCCACTTACATATGACCCAGAAATTCCAATTCTATGTATGTACCCAAAAGAATAAAAATCTATGATCACACAAATATTTGTACAAAAATTTATATAGCAACATTACTAACAATAGTCAAAAGGTGGAAACAATCTACATGTACACTTGATGAATTTTAAAATGTGGTAGTCATACAATGGTTATCAGCCATAAAAATAGTATGTTATATTGTTAGAAAGACACCTTTTTTTTTTACCTTTTATTATTTCTAACGTGAAGATATGCCTTAAAACTTATAACATCTTCCAAGTACTTTTAGCCATGTTGCAATTATAAAGATACAATAGGAGCATCTTAACCAATTTATTTTAAATAAATTTCCTTTCATTATAAGCACAAGTTAGATGTGACACGAAAACAGAAGTATTTAAGTCTAAAGAAGCTCTTTCAAGTGACATCAAATAACTTTGCATTTGACATTGAAAATGTTTTAAATTGAGTGAAATAGGCCAGTCACAGTGGTTCATGCCTATAACCCAGCACTTTGGGAAGCTGAGGTGGGAGGATTACTTGAGGTCAGGAGTTGGAGACTAGCCTGGGCAAAATAGTGAAATGTCATCTCTGGGGAGAAAATTATATACATATATGTATACACACACATATGTACAGTTTGTGAATTTAAAGTAATCTAAATTAATATCTCATTACGCTTTTCACAACCTGATTCTAAAGCTTATATAAAAGAACAAAAATGAAAAATTTCACAAAAGTTATAAAACTCTGTTCATGAAGGGGGTATGAGTGCTGTCAAATATTAAAGTGTACGTTGAAGCCAAACCAATTTGAGCATCAGATCACTGGCATAGAGCTGAGAGCACTGAAGTAGCCTCATTCATAGGAATGTTTTGTGTGGTCAACAGTGGTATACGTGATTGTGATGAAAATAGTGAATTCTTTAGTAAATAGTCTTGGATGAACTGAGTAGCCATTTGGGAAAAAAAGGAACTAGACTGCTATCTCACAGTTTTATATATATATATGGTATTGAAGTCTCCAGCTATTATGGTACTGGGGCCTATCTCTGCTATTAGCTCTAATAATATCATATATATATTTATATTCACATACATATATATCTGGGTGCTCCTGTGTTGGGTGGAGATAGATTTAGAATTTTTATCTTCCCTTTCTGAATTGACCCCTTTATCATTATACAGTGATCTTCTTTATCTCTTCTTATGGTTTTTGTCTTGAAATCTATTTTTTCTGATATAAGTGTAGTGACTCCTGCTCTTTCTAGTCAGAACTAGAAGGAGAGTGTCATGAAGAATTTCAAAGTATTGTGATGGAGACTGAAAGAAAATGTATGATTAATAAATAAGGGAAAGGGCTTGGCTCTAAGCCAAGAGACTTGGGTTTTATCAGATGAGTGATAGGGATATACAAAATAAAGTCTATAAGGAAACATTATTTGGAAAGATGCATACAGTCGCCTGGATGATCCAGAAGACAAAGTTTAGTTAGAACACTGTGGTGGGCTCAGCACCTTCTAGCTTGAAACCCTGTCTTTTATACTTCCCTGTATAACCTCTTCACAGAAACTGGAGTAAAATGCAAATAGATAAATAATTCTTGAGTGAGAAAATTGGATAAAGAGAGGTAGACTTAAATGATAGCCAATGAAAAAGAACAATTTTATACTGGGAAATCAGTTGAATTTGGCCAAAGCGTGGATTAGGGTTAGGAAGTTTGGAGAAGTCACATAAGGCTATGGTGTTTGAAGCTTTGAAACTGGAAATCAGAAAAAGCATGAGCAACTGAAGAAATGAGTGAAATGGCTGGGTGAATAGATAAAGATAATGCTACTTGCTATAATGAAAACTCCCAGATCTCAAAAATGTAACAATAAAAATTTAAGTGTCAACGAATGTTAAAAATATAACATCCACTAAAAAATGTATGGGGAAGGGACAGTTAGGAAATTTCCAGTTCCCATGAAACTATCCAGTGACTCAGACTGACAAGAGATTCTTGTATCTTCAACATGTGGCTACCAAGATCCTCCTCAGCCTCCAAGCAGCAGAGATTAAAAATTATGTGGGAGGTCTGATTGGCCAGGCATGTACCACTTTAACATTCTACTGTTTTATTTAACACCTGCAAAAGAGGCTGGCAAGAGGAGGCTAGCTGAGTGGCTGGGAGGAAAAGAAAATGGTGTGGTGAACAGCCCATTCTTCTTTGTCAGGTGAGCAAAAGAGGCCAGTAGATTTTTCCTATAAGAGATGCTAACAGGAGTTCTTCAGGCTGAAATGAAAGAACACCAGCATGAACTCAAGATACAAGAGGAAATAAAGAAGACTGGCAAAAGTAACTTTATGTCAGAGCCACTGTTATTGTACTTTTGGCTTGTACTTTTTTCCCTATATGATTTAAAGGGCAAGTGCATAAAACAATTGTTATGAATCTACGGTAATGAGTTCTCAATATATAACGACATAATATGTGACAATAACAATATAAAGGGGAGGAAAAAAGATGGATAGAAGCAGAATGTTTCTATACTATTGAAACTAAGTTGGTTATAAATTGGGTTACTGTTAAAGCTAGATAGTTACAAGTTTAAGACATTAAGTATAATTTCCCAGAAAACCACCAAGAAAATAACTTTAAAAAATACAGAAAGAAAAAAATGGCACACTATTAAAAAAATCAACAAAATAACAAAAAATGGTGGCAGAAATGGAGAAATTGAAGAGCAACAACAACAAAAGACTATGGAAAACAAAATTAAATGACAGAAGTAAGTCTTTTCTTATCAGTCATTATTTTCAATGTAACTGGATCAAACCCTACTACTCCTAAGACAGAAATTGGCAGAATTAACAAAAAAGATCCATCTACATACTGTTTACAAGAGAGTCATTTTAAATACAAAAACACAAAAAGTTAGAATAAAAACGATGAACAAATATGTTTCATGCAAATGGCATCCAAAAACAGAGCTGGGTGGCTATATTGCTATCATACAAAATAGATTTCAAGTCAAAAATTTTACAAGAGTGAAATAAAGACAGACACACACACACACACACACATATATGTGATGGAGTCTTGCTCTGACACCCAGGCTGGAGTGCAGTGGTTCCGTCTTGGCTCACTGGAACCTCTGCCTTCCGGGTTCAAGAAATTTTTCTGCCTAGCCTCCCAAGTAGCTAGGACTACAGGTACATGCCACCATGCTCAGCTAATTTTTGTATTTTTAGTAGGGTTTCACCATATTGGTCAGGCTGGTTTTGAACTCCTAACCTTGTGATCCACCCAAATCAGAGTCCCAAAGTGCTGGGATCATGAGCATGAGCCACCACACCTGGCCAAAGACATTATATATTGATAAAAGTTGCCCTACATCAAGAAAACATACAAATTATATACCCATCTAATGACAACACTCCCAAAACATGCAAAACAAAAATTAACGAAATTGAAGGCATAGTTTTA